GATGCTGCCTGACAGAAAAGAGGGCCTGCACCCGAGGAATGACATCCAGAGTTGTCTCCTGACCTAAATGTGTGTGTGGACCTGTAGACGCATGCAGACACACACGCAACTTCTTTCAATGGAAGTCTTGTAATTAGACAAAACATGACACTAGCCATGGTAGTTCAAGACCGGATGGAATCTATTTCCATTGGCTTGCCACACTCCTAAAAACAGACGCACGGAGGGGCCGGCCTGTGTAGGTGAGAAGGAGAATCACTAAGGTTTCCCGACGCAGGAAGACTTTCATCCACACAGCTTAAGGTACGGTTTGATTCAGCATGCACCTAACTGTCCTCACAACACATTCTGCGACTTTCTCCCCTCCAGGATTCTAAGACACACTAACTTTGTACTTGTTCCGGACACAAAGTTGCCCTCCCATTCCGTGGTTCTTAGCACAGGCTGAAGAAGCTGTGGGAACTCAAAACACAAGAGACAAATAGAGGCATGTATTAATTATTTAGGAGCCGCTGCGCTCGGGATCGTTATAATTACCGATGATGCTTTCCAGAAAGGACATATCAGTGTGCTTCGGGGACTACTGGCTACTTCCCCAGCTCTTCCATGGCTCCAGCCTTCAGAGCCAATTGAGGGTAAATATAAAAGTGCTTTGATCCTAGTGGAAATCCACATTATACAGAGGGTCACGTACCTTCCCCTCTAACCCAGTGTGGGATTCAACAATTAACCTTAGTACTGTTAAAGATTAGATTTACCTAAAAGCAAGACGAATAACCAGCCTCAACAGGTCCAGGGTTACTATAATGATGGGTGAGTCCGAGCGGGTGCTGCATTGCAAGTAAATCCCCTGTGACAAGAAGCTAATGGCATCTGATTTATTACCAAATAGAAGACAAGCCAGGGCAGGTATGCAAACTTATGCAAACCATACAGCTGTGTAACTGCGGGGCCACCCTTAATTAGTCCATCTATTTCTAAATGGCCATTGGGCAAAAAAGTTTCATATTGGTTCTAGATTCATTTGTTCTTTCAGTGCTTCACATTTTTTTTCTGGTCCCGGGGATTGAACCAGAGTTGTGTACACACTAGGCAAATGCTCTAAGATTGAGCCACACCTATAGTCCTTAAAAAAAAAAGATTTATTTATTTTTATCTGATGTGTGTAAGAGTTTCACCTGTATGTATGTATGTATTGCGTCACATGCATGCGTGATGCCTACAGAGGCCAAAGAGGGTCTCTGATTCCCTAGAACTGGAAATATAGACAGTTCTGACTCCCTGGGTGAGTGCTGGGACCCGAACCTGGGTCCTCTGGAAGAGCAACCGGTGCTCTTGAGAGCTGAGCCACCTTTTCAGCTGCTGCCTTTTGTATCTTTTTGTTTTTTTCCTTTCAGTCAGGGTTTCTCTGAATATCCCTGGCTGTCCTGGAATCACAGATCCCCCTGCCTCTCTCTCCCAAATGCTGGAATCATAGCTGTATGCCACCACCGCTCGGCTTGCCCTGCGTGTTCTAAGACAGCGTCTTGCTAAATTTTTCTGGTTAATCTCAAAGTTGCAATTTGAATTTTCAACACCTTCCCATGTTCTAGGATTATAGGTAATTGCCACCACACCTGCCTACATTAGCTGGGTTTTTAATAATATGCCTTGTTGGGATGTCATTCACTTACCATACAATTAACCTAGTTTAAGTATACAGTCCAGGGCTTTTCAGCCATGGAACATCCACAGCCACACACCATCCCACGGTCTAAAATCTGTCATCTCCCCACGACACCCTGTCCCCTTTAGCTGTCAACTCCTCCATTCCTCCCCAGCTCATCTTCCACACCGGCCCTCAGCAACGACTGTTCTCATTTCTGTCTCTGAAGATTCGCTGGTTTGTGACGTGTTGCGTAAAGGGAATAGCACAATGCGAGTTCTCTCACTGAGCGTTTGTAAGTTTTTCAAGGTTCAGCCGTGCTGAAGCATGTTGAATAGTATCCACTATGCTGTTCCATGCATTGTACTGGCCCGTTCACCTCTCAATGGATGCTAGGATTGTTTCCAGGGGTTTTCGTGTGTTTTGGGGTTTGCCTGTTACGTGTACCTACTGGGATGAGGATTTGGGCACTGGTTCCTTTGTGGAGGTAATCTTTCAGTTCCGCAGGATATCTGTCTAAGAGGGGAACTGCGTTATTTGGTAACTTTAGGTGTAACTTTTTGAGGAATTAACAAATTGCTTTCCACTACATCATTTTACACCCCATTGGCAATATGGGAGAGTTGTAGCTCTTCCTTCCCATCCTCCTTGTGGGGCAAGGAATCAAACCTAGGATCTTGAGCAAGCGAGGCCACTGAGTTGTGTTCCCAGCCCCAGCTTTTCCACATAATCTCCGTCACCTCCAAATTCTTTTTATGAGCATGAACTGGGCTGATCTGTTGTTAGGGATCATTTCATTTGTAACTATTACGGTTGGTGTGAAGTGATATCGCATTATGATTTTGATTTTTGTTTTCCGACAAGTAAATATAAGCACCTTTTTTATGCACATCTTCTTTGGAGAAATTCTATTTGGTCTATTCAAACCTTTACCCACTTCCAAATGGGCTGTTTATCTTTTTGCTATTGAGTTCTTCATCTTCGGTCGTGTGTGTGTGTGTGTGTGTGTGTGTGTGTGCATGTGCGCATGTAGTTGTGTGTGTGCGCGTGCACACAAGCATGTACGCATACAGTTGTGTGTGTGTGTGTGTGTGTGTGTGAATGCGCACATGTAGTTACAGGAAGAAAGACTGACTTCTCAGTTGGTCCTCCTTGAAATAAATTTTCTGTAACATAAAGTCAGGAGAGATGGGAGGGTGGTGGCCTTTTTCTCCTTTGAATCGGCTGGAGCTTTGGGCTGGCTGGATGCTAGGCTGGGAGGGAACTCTGTAAAGTACCCAGCGCAAAGCACCATCCAGCCAGAGTGGATCACCACCAGCTGAAGGAGGCTGGGGAGATGAAGTGTGCTCAAACACCATACACCCATGTTGTCTTTACCACAATATTACGGATTATTTGGCATAAACGCTTTGTTATTTGCTGTAATCCCTCAGGATAATATTTCGAGATAATTCTCACCACTTACTGTTTTGTAACAGGTGAGTTCACAGACAGAATTCTAGAAGTTGAGTCTTTTTTGGATGACTTGCTCATGTGTGTGTGATCTATGTGCACAGGTGTGTGTCCGTACTTGGGGTTGCGTGGGGAAGTCAGAAGTCAGTGTTTGGTGTCTCCTCCTATGGCTCCACATGTTACTTTTTGAGACAGGGTCTTCTCATTGAACCAGAAACTTGCCCATTTGGCTAGAATGGCTATCTGGAGAAGATTCGAGGATTCTCACTCTGCCTCCCAGCTCTGGGCTTACAGATACATTCTACTGTGCCTCTTGATGTGGGTTCTGGGATTTGAACTTGGGTCCTCATACTTGAATGTACTTAACTCTTTGAGCCATCTTTCCAGCTCCAGCTGCTATTTGGATAATCTGAAATGAAGACTGTTAATTGGTGGTCAGAGTTTACACTGACTTTATTGGCCAAAATTGGCCATAGATGTGTAAAAGATAACTTTTAATTTTAAAATCAGCAAACTTATAAACAGTAGGTTAAGAAAACCAATGGGGGTTGGAGTCTGGTTGGTTTTCTACTTGATGCACAGTCTGTGCATTTGCCTTAACTAACCATTTTTCATTTATTGCAGTTAAATTGTTGTTTAGAGAGATTTGAAAAATGAGGTTGCGTATCCCACACAAAAGTTCATTGTTGGTCTAAGTGATCAATATACATAGTCATCACAACTATTAAAATCATGAAAATGGTTGATGATGGTGGAGCATGCCTTTAATCTCAGAACTCCAAAGGCAGGCTGATCTCTATGAGTTCGAGGCAAGTCTGGTTCACAGTGAGAGAGAGATTCAGGATAGTCAAGGCTACTCAGAGAAACCCTGTCTTGCAGAAACAAAGACAAACAAACATAAACCAAAACAAAAAACCAAAAACACCCCCCCAAAAAAAACTTTTTTAAAAAAAACATGAAAATGATGGCCACATTAAGAAAGAAGCACAGGAATGAATAAGATGTGAAAATCAAGTGATTAAGTTTTTACCAGTTTTCTGCACACATTTAAAAGTTCTTTAGTAAAAAATGGCAGTGTATTTCTTACTATCTTTTGATTCAGAATAACTACTGCTGCTATAAAGTCTCTTGCAAGAGCAAACATCCCACTTTCCCTGATACATTTATTTGGACTTTGGGAGCTAGCATTTAGGTTTAACAGCTCCTCTATTTCTGTACTGGCACATGGGCTGGGCTGACCTGTGCACTCCCAACCAGTTGAATGCCTTTCCATTTGAAAAAGTCTAGACTGACGCTTGTACCTGAAAACCTCCGCACCTATGCTCCCCTGCTCCCCAAGGATGCTGTGACACACATTGCTCCATGGGTTGAAGACTTTGATTGCTTGTAACAATCACAGAAGCATCCTTGAGAAAACACTTTGTGCTTAATAATAAAGAAAAAATACTAAACCAATTCTTTCCTAGCTATGCCTTATCTGCTGGCAGTGGACTGGTGTGCCCTTGCCTAAAGTAACTTATTGGCATTAAAAAAAAAAAGAGCAGGAAACTAGGTAAATACTACTAGATAAATAAGGAAGCCAAACACATCCTAAGATATTTCCCTGAATATTAACAAGCCACACAAAGATAGAATAATGAAAATAATGTAAAATAATTTTCTTCCAGCTGGAAAAGTTCCAGTAATAAAGTTTGGCTTATGTTGAGTGAAACGTCTTAGTTTCCGACATAGTGAATGCCAAGAGGACCCATTCAGTTCTTAGAGTTGTAATGTGGTTAGTTAATAAGCAGATAAATTACATCAAAGCTCAGTTCTATTCCTCCCCCCGCCCCCCATGAAGACAGAAATTCTGTGTTAAGAAAGCTTCTTCGGATTGGACGTAGGTATTTTGGAAGATGCTTACCTCCTGCCTTTGTGTGAGCTTGGATGCTCTGGCTTCTCCCCAGCTGCTGTTAGCTTGCCACTGCGCCGGGCGCAGGGGAGGCCCCAAGAGTTAGGTGTTCGGGCCCCGCCCTCTGCACTACTGCTAAAACTCCAGTTCTGCCAAACTGATTCCGGTGATTAATAATTGACAAAAGGAAAACACTCTTACGCAAACTTGTGTCCAACCGCAGGGCTTGCAAAGACTCCTTCCAGAAGAGAATGCGGGGTTGCACCACTCCCCTCCCCCTTCGCTCTAAGGTCCCAACTTCCTATGCGCTGACACTCAGTCCTGGGGGATTGGGCTGTCCTCCGAGGAATGCAGCCCAGTGACTTCTACATTTTTAAAATTCGCTTTTCTGTAGCTCCTTCGCACTTCTCCGGAGATTAGCCTCTCAGGAGGGGGCGCTTTCCTCCCCGATACAGGGGGAGGGGGGGTGGAGGGAGCCGGGGCTCGGAGAGCTACCGAGACCGAGGTGGCGCTGTCACCTCCGATTGCTGCAGTAAAACCCGGAGCCTAGGCAGAGATGGGAGATGGGGGATGGGTGTCTCCCTCCCTCTTCGTTTCGGCGGGGAGCTTCGACTCTGCCAAAGGGACGCGTCTTTTGGTGGTGGTGCTGATGATAGGGTGAGGATGGGGGAAGAGTAGGGGGGAGGGGAGGGGGAGAGAAGGAGGAGGAGGCAGCGGCGATAGCAGAAAACCAGGAGATGCAAAGGTGAGCACGCTGGGGCTTTAACCAAAGCTCAAAGGATGCCTGTCAGCATTCATCCGTCCGCACACTCGATGAGCGGCAAAGGGGCCTGGGTGTACGCAGAGCAAGGCTGCAGTCTGAAACTCAGCGTCCGGCAGCGAAGTGAGCTCCGGGGTCGCGCCCGGGCATCGGTCCGCCCACCGTTTGTCAAAAAGCAAAGGAAGAAAACGAACCACTTTAGCATCGGCAGCTAATTCTGCTGCCTTGGACCCAGTAAAACAATCCCTCGGCCTCCCAAAACAGTCACCTTCCCCCAGGTGGTTGGAAGGTTACGGTTGGAAAAACTGCTCCCACCCTTCCCTGGGGGAAAGAGGTAGGAGGACCGTGCCTGGGGAACTTGTGTGGGTTCACTCACAAGTGCAGGGAATTATTCAGTCGCAGACGACTGCGGCCCGAGGACAAATTGGGAAAAGGGGGCCGGCAGGCGGCGGGGTGCCGCAGAGACGCACGGAGCGGCTCCGGGGCAGGCGTGCCCTTCGCAGCATCTCCGCTGGAAACCCGCAGCCAGACCACGATCGATCTCTTTCTTCTCCATCCTAGGCAATTCTTACATTTGACTCCGTGACTGCGCGTTAAAAGTTCGGAGGGCCTGGGTATCCTCATCCTAAATATCCGACCGGGATTTTTTCTGTCCAAGATCCAGGGGCGTCAGGGGACGGAAGCCTCTCAATTAATGAACGTTCGGGCTGCATCTGCCATTCAGCTCCAGGAAGGGGAGGCGGCATAGGCTCCACAGTGCTGATTGTGCTGAAGCGCAAATTTGAGCTCCTGGCAGCGTTCTGCTCTTTCTCACAACACACTTTCAGCAGGATGGGAGCTCCGATGCTACGCAGAGGGAGCCTCACGCTATTGGGCGGCGGGTGCCTCCTTGCAGGAAGCAGGGTGTCCCCCGAAGCTGAAGGTGGTTGGGGGCTGGGAAAGGAGCATGTGTAGAACACACGCCCGGGCTTAGTGTTTCTTACAGCTATCTTTCCTCTCAGCTCTTGTGAATAGTTTGTTTTTTTTTTTATTTTTTAATCACTTTATGTTGGTCACATTTCTTATCTGGGCTTCTCCTGACACACCTTACAATGTTTGCAGGGCAGACATAACTTAAGGCTATAGAGGGGGAAACACAGGCTCTGAGAAAAGGCAATTTGCAGGATGACCAATGTTCTTACAGCTTTTGGACCTTAATCTATTTCCTAGTCCTCCCACTAGATCGGCAATTCTCAACAAGGGGGTTCCCTTGGCTCGAATGACTCTTTCACGGGGTCACCAATGGCCATCAGAAAACACAGATGTGTACATTAAAATTCACAATTACAGTTATGAAGTAACAGCAACAATAATTTTATTGTTGGCTGTCCCCACACCTGAGGGACTGCATTAAGGTCACACAGTCTTAGAAAGCTTGGGAACCACTGCTCTCGATTGGGACACCAACTCCCACGTCACTGTGCTTCTGTGGAAAAGGACACAGATCTTCCTGTCTGTGAAGATCTACGCTTATGCAATGGGTACCTTCTGCAACTACTCTACATAGAAGCTGGAGGAAACCTGCACTGATGGCAAAAGTGTCCAGACCACTGAACGTGATATTTTTTAAAAGGCACACAGGTACACGTTCATGTCTATCTGGACACCTCCCGGGAAGAGAAAACATTGTCTGTGTGTGCCACGTGAACATGACACCGAGTCACCAGACAGAGGCCACCACAGCAAGCAAGGCAGAGACCATCGCCACTGCATCGCTCTTCCAAACACAGTAAGGATAAAGATAGAGAAATAAGGTCAACCTAATTGATAGCCAGTTGGAAATCTCAAGATGTTTTAAGTCCGGCTTAAGCTGTCTGGAGTGGTGGTACACACCTGTGATTTCAGCATTGGGAGGTAGAACCAGGGCAGTTGGGAGTTCATCTTCAGTACACAACAAGGTCTAGGCCAGCCTGGGCTAAATGAGACACAGTTTCAAAAAAATCCAGTCAAACAATCATAATGGTAAACTTAACCTAGATCAGATAGCTACAAACGGAAAGGTTGCAAACTCTTTCTAAGTGTATTGTTTTAGCTGCTAAAATCGAAACGATACGGTGTGGTAATGGTTGATACATACGCATAGTTTGCAAAGATCAAATCAGGGCAGTTAGCATTTCCATGTCCATAACTTAAAGATCTTTTATTAACATGCAATAATGGTAAATATTTATGGAGTACAGGGTGATGGGAAATAGTAAGTCTTGGGACTGGAGAGGTGGTCCAGTCTGTAAAGTACTTGATGTGTAAACACGGGGACCGAGTTCACATCTCCAACATCCGTGTAAAAAAACATTGGCCCATGCGGTCCACCTGTTATCCCAGTGCTGGGGGAGGGGGACAGGGTTGCTGCTAGCCAGCTAGTCCAGCTGAACTGACGAGCTCCAGGTTCAGTGAGAGACTCTGCCTCTAAAATAACGTGGAAAGTGCCGGGTAGTGGGGGGTGCAGGCCTTTAGTCCCAGCACTCGGGAGGCAGAGACAGGCGGATCTCTGTGAGTTCGAGGCCAACCTGGTCTACAGAGTGAGTTTCCAGGACAGGCTCCAAAGCTACACAGAGAGAAACCCTGTCTCAAAAAACAAAACAGAACAAAATAATGTGGACAGCAGAAAAAGAAAATGCCAGAACTCAGGCTCTGGCTCCCCATGAATGTGTAGAGATGTACACACACACACACACACACACACACACACACACACGCAGCAAACACGGGGAAAAATGACACATAACCTCAGACGAGGCCATTAAATGACAACCTTCAGGTGTTTTTTGGCCCATGAAAGGCACACTGTGAGTTTGGAGGTTAGATATCAATCACCATTTAAAGGTCTCACTTATTTTGTTTGGAATGCCATTGGAGTTAAGGTTCCAGGAAGAAAGGAGGCAGGCTATGTGAGAATCCGTTTGAAGAGACTCCTTTCCTGGTGCTGATTTCTATCCTATTTTCATTGCTGTGCTGAAATACTCAACCTAAAGCAACTTGGCAGGTGGGCAGGTGAGGTTTATTTGTCTGACAATTCCTTGTGGAGAGGAAGTAGAGGTAGCAACTTGAGCAGCCATCACATCTACAGTCAAGAGTAAACAGAAAGGAGCCCTTAGAAGCTTTTTATTGCTGCTGCTTCTCTTGAAGCATACCCTACATCGGTCAGTGTGCCCTGCTTAGGGGATGGTGCTGCCCATAACGGGTGAGATCCTCTGCAGCAACTGTCAAGACGGTTCTCCACAGACGTGCCTGCAGGTTAAGGGGATCCACTCAATTCCTCAGCTGAGGCTTTCTTCTCAGGGTATTCTCAGCTGCGGCAAGTGGATATTTAAAACTAACCAGCATAGGTGCCAACCCTACATACATGGTCAAGTTTCTAGGCAGCAAAGGTCAGGCACAAAAATGTCCGTCTTCTGACGTTTCCAGACCTGACAATGGTGGCATGGTGAGAGGATCATGGACTTCTTTGGAACAAACCAGCTATGGGTTCAAGTCTCCATCTTCCTTGGCACTAGATCTGCAATCTAAAACAAACCATCCGGTATCTCTGTCCTTGGTCTTCTCAGCTATGAAGTAGGAGTAAGGCTGAGTTCATAGGGTTCATCTGAAGCTAAACTGAAGTACTGTTCGCAAAGGGTGTGCCTAACTGATATTGCCTCCACACTGATTCCAATTCCTCAAGTATTCATAGGCTCAGGCTGAGAGGCCTTTTATCACGGAAAAATTCTAACCCTTAAAACGTCTAGAATTTAGTCTTAGAATGAGGACCACATCAATAATAAGAGAAAGAAGTTCATCCCAATGCATATTGGCACAGGATATACATTACTGTTTCAAAAAGGAGGTACGGTGAGAAAATATTGCACTGAAACAAACCCAAAAACCAGCTGGGTGAGCTCCAAACAGCATCTCCATGTCTCATGTCAAAACGCTCTTCAGATCTCCAAATCTGCTCAGCTTTGTGATTGCAACACCCTTCTTTCTCTTAGGCTGGTTCCATTCCCCCACTCCCGGTTAGCAGCTCTCCTCGGCAGGTAGCCCACAGCTCTGGCATCTCTAACGTCTTGGGGTCTCCAAGGCAATCCAGGCTTCACCTTCACAGCTTCTCACAATGGCCTCTTTGGCTGTCCATGCAGGGATACCCCGACATGTGCCTGTGTTTAGCAGCTTTCCTTAGTTGCAGAGGTAGACTCCACATCCTCTTTCTTGACTTTAAAGTCGAAGCTGCCAAGTTCTGCTGCTTGCCGGGGCTAGAACATGCCCCTTGTTTAAATATATTTTCACCAGCTTTCTGTTTCCGATGGTTTCCTTCTCTACCTGAGCTTGGCTGTCCTGGAACTCCATCTGTAGAACCAGGCTGGCCTCAAACTGAGAGATCTGCCAGCCTCTACCTTCTGAGTGCTGGGATTGAACATGTGCACCACCACACCTGTCTCTATGCTGTCTTTAATTCCTTCTCACGTGTTGGAAACGTAACTGGGTGGGGTTTTGCTCCAAGGTCACCACTCCCTTTACTCAGCAGCAGGCTGAGTACTTCCTAGTGCTTGCACTTCCTAGTGCTCCTTTTCTCTTCCACCTGTACGTTTTATATTTTCTTCTTTGCTCAGCATTCTCCTTTTCACTATAAACCTGCATAAGACTAGCCACTGAGAACCACACAACATAGTCAAGCAACACTGGGCTGTTTTGAAATCACCTCTGCAAACACAATTAATCCAGAACTCTTCCATTTATCCTCAGGCAGAAAGCAGCTACACCGTTCACCAAACTATCACGAGGTTGGTCTCAAACCCATATGCTAATGCACTCCTCTGAAGCCTTTTCAGCCAGTCCCCCACAGTTAACTCATCCTCTGCACCTCTGTCTCGTGTCTTCCTAGGACGGCCCATGAAGTCCGGCTTAAAATGTCCAATCACTTTTCTAGTTCTAGGTCCCAAAGTGTTCCATATTCCTCCACACAAAAGCGTGCTCTGGCCTATCACAACAATACCCCAGTCCCTGGTACCACCTCTTATCTTACTTAGGGTTTCCATTGCCATGAAGAGATATCCTGATCACCGTTGTCCACTTAGCCATTCTCACGCTCAAGATTCATAATACGAGAGAGAAAGTTGGGGTTGGGAGGCTGGCAGGGGGAAAACAAAACTCTGAAATTCTGAAATTGGGTAAAAAATTCAACCACTCTGCCTTAGGTATGTAAACAGGTCCCTACCCAACCAAGCACACTGCGCCTGTGCTTTGTGAACAGGCTGACTGCTCCTTTGAAGACTTGGATTGCCGGCTACTTCTCTGACAAGTTTTCTGTCTCTTTTGGGCTAGAGGGAGACTCCTGCTATAATTAGCTTCTGTGTGAGGCAGGGAAGAACCCAGTCCTATTATTTCACAGTTCTACCCGGTGAACTGTCAAATGTGTGCTATGAATCAGCTTCTCCAACTCTTCGGCACCATAAAAATTCATAGCCGTTCTGTGGTCCTGACATTTTTTTCCTGTGAAGAATTTGGCATGTAGTGGGAAGTTATTATTTCAATTCCTGTCAAATTAAACTTCCAGGTCAGTGTTACTATTTGGGATGGAAAGAGCAAATGCAGAATAAAAGTAAGAAATAAAAAGTAAGGCACCAAGGAAACTTAGCCTTAGGATGCCACTTGGAGTTAGCTGTCATGATTTCAGAATACTTTTGTGATATCCAAAAGACACCCCAGGCTCATTAGCTGGGATATCACATTCCCCCACCCACACTCCCAACCATCAATCTACTTTTTTACCTGCATGATTTGCATTTTCTGGAAATTTTGCATAAATGGTCTTCAGTGGATGAATTCTTCAACTTAAGGTCATATTTTCAAGGTTCGTTGATGTGGTCCTGTGTATCCATACTTCCTTCTTTGCCAGGTGGCATAATAGTTCATTCTTGCTCCCGAGCTCTCTGTTGCTCACCAATTTCACAGGTGTTTGCTGTTGCCACTGTCAGGCTTGAAAACAACGTGACCTGAACATTTACATACATGCTTTTGTGTGGACGTGGGCCTTTCTTTCTCTAGCATGTCTATGATCTTCCAGATGAATTCATATGATAAAGCTGTTTAACTTTTTGCGGTCTTGCAAAATGACTTTTCTAAGATGGTGATACTATATCTGTATTACCACATGTTGTGAAGCTTTGCTTATTCCCCCTCAGGGTCAACCGTGGTGGTCTGAATAAGAATGGCACCTGTAGGCTCATAAATTTGAACACCTCGTCACCAGGAACTGGCCCCATTTGAGAGGATTAGAAGCATTAGCAGGTGTGGCCTTGTTGGAGGAAGTGTGTCACTGGGGCTGGGCTTTTGATTCAAAAGCCCGGTTCAAGTCCAGGGACTCTCTCTGCCTTCGGAGCAGGATGTGGCTCTCAGCTACTTTTCTAGCACCGTGTCTGCCATGTCTGCCACTGTGCTCCCCCCCATGATGAAAATGGAGTAAACTTCTGAATCTATAAGCAGGCCCCAAGAAATGCTTTCTCTTTTCTGAGTTGTTGAGGGATTGGTGCCTCGTCACAGCAAAACTCCACAGTAAAGATTCTTTCGAAAAATTTTGAAAAACCAAAACCAGTCTCCATTGAATTATCTAGCCTTTATAAAAGTATCTGACCATCAGTGTAAGCTATCTTTGAGCCAGGCGGTGGTGGCGCACGCCTTTACTCCCAGCACTCGGGAGGCAGAGGCAGGTGGATCTCTGTGAGTTTGAGGCCAGCCTGGTCTACAGAGCGAGTTCCAGGACAGGCTCCAAAACTACAGCGGAACACTGTCTCAAAAAACAAAACAAAACAAAACAAAACAAAACTAAACTAAACAAAAAAAGGATATTATTTCTGGACGATCAGTTCTATTTCACTGAGCTCTAAACCTAGACTTACAATCATAATTGTAATTGAAATTTGGCAACAATGGGTGCTTCAGTTAGGATTACTTTGTTATTCTAGATCCTTTGTGTTTTCATACAATTGTATAGTAATTAACATCTATTTTTTAAATTAAAAAATGCAGCAGAGGTCTTTATAGCTAACCTATAAATTGCATCAGTGGATTAATTTGGGAGAACATACCATCTTAATAATATTAAGCATTCTAATCCATTAACATGGAAAGTGTTCTGTTTCTTTAGATTTTTTTTCTTATTTTAAGAGTTCTTAAAATAAATTCAAAATTATTTAAAATAATTTATTATTATTGTGGGGTGTATGTGTGTTGTACATGTGTGTGTGCATGTGTGCGAGCGTGTGTGTGGATGGGCGGGTGCATGGGTGTGTGGCAGCACGCTTGTAGCAGTCAGACAGCAACTTGTAGGAGGAGCCATTCTGTCTTTCCGTCTTGGTAAGACAAGGTCTTCCATTTTTCTGAATCACTCTAGGCTGGCAGGCCTGCAGGCTTCTGGGCAATTCTGTCTTCCGCATCGCCCTAGGTGTCCTGGGATTACAATTGTGACATGGAGGTCGGGTGGAAAGAGGGGGTGACCCTAAGTGATTTTTGTTGAATTACTTTAAAAATGTACATCATTATATCATTCCGGTCCTTTATGGCTAAAAGAATTCTAAATTAGCCAAGCATTTTGAAAGAAAACGTAAGAGTTATTTTCACACCTCACACCATTGAAGTGAACACATTGGAATCTCACAGAATAAAAACTGAGTTCTGAGTACCAGGGAGGAAGTCAGAGAAGGTACTGCAGACTCCCTTTTCTACTTGCAAGTGCAGGGCAGGGATCACTTTAATGTAACTCAACGCTTCTCAACCTGTGGGTCGAGACCCCTTTGGGGGGGGGGTCGCAGGTCAGATATTTATATTACGATTCACAACAGTAACAACATCAAAGTTATGAATCAGCAATGAGTAATTTTATGGTCGGGAGTCACCACAACGTGAACTGACTGTATTGAAGGGACGCGGCTTGAGGAAGGTTGAGAACCACAGATGAGAGTCGTTTACCTCCCAAAATGTTACCTCTGCTCTAGGGGAGAGCTCAGCGCCCTGCCTGGAATCTGACTGAGCATTTGGTGGGAATCTTAGAGGGGAGGTGTGTGTGCCCAGTCGTCCTGAGAACCCTTGCTAGGCAGGCAGTTGTTGCCAAGGTGTGGCAACCAGGCAGACCATCACCCTACTCTCATTAACAAGAAAAGCAGCCACCTAGTGGTAACTTCCTGGCAGCCCTAACAGGAGCGGTGGGGGGAGAAAAGCTGGTTACCAAGAGTATCGGACACTGTGGTCTAGAAAGAACCGCTGTGGCCGACTTAGACTTTTTAGGTTTAAGTCGAGTGTAAAATTACCGTTTCCTGGAGCTAAGAGGTGGAGACTTTCAATTACAAGTGACCAAAAAATAACCCTATGCTCCAGGAACTATTGACCACGAACAGAAAGTTAAAACCCCAGTTAGTTTTCCTCTGTAGGAAATCTACAGAGAGGGGCAGAGGACTCTGAAGCTGTTCTAAAGAGAGAGAATACACAGACGAAGGTGTGAGCCGCTATGCGGTTATCGTCTTACAGATTGCTTGGGAGTTGAAACCACGGCCTCTGTCATTAAATTATGAAGGGCATGAAATGGAGATAATGACCACCTGTCCACGACATTCAAGGAGGTCCATGAAGTTTGTAACTTTGCTGAGCTAGGAGCTGGAGTTTGAGGTAAGACTAACCAAGATCTTCAGTAAGGATGTCCCCTCGCTGTGTATTATTGCTGATTGATTTAATTTCAGTTCCAGCAGCCCTGGTAAGAATCTAGGAGGTTCAAGAGTGTCTTCAGGAAACACTGGAATTCATTGTGTTTTATCTCACTTTCTCATGTTTCCCACTAACACGGAGGAGACACAGTCTCAGTCTGCACTTCGAAGTTTTTAGAAGCGGTGAAGGGAGGGGCTGGGAGGAAGGCTTGTGGTGAGGCCGCATTTCCATAATAGACAGCCAAATTTAATTCATGATAAAAGTAGGTAGGAGTTAGATGAGCCGATTTTTTTTCAATATAGTTTCTAGTGGGCTCATGGCCTTTAGAATGGAAAAAAAATCAGATTATTGATTTTGCTAAGAAAAGCTGAGATACGCCTTTGAGTAACAGGTTACCAAGACATTTGCCACAAGGCCTTGGTGAATAATATGGGTTCCATCCATGGTTATGGCTTTCAGTGAAGAGTGAGAGCTATTTTTCTGCAGTTGTTGTTTGGCTGCAACTCATTTTGGCTCAGAATTCTCTCCAAGAGGACTTGGGAGCTGAGAATGGGAACTCAAATTCAAGTCCTTCTGAGGGCTGACAGCGTGTTAGGGCTCAGGTGAGTAGAGCCAAGCTAAGACAGGGGTCAGGATCATGTGGTCCATGAATCCCGGCTGGAGAGGCCCAAACCCTGGTTTCGCTTCCTACACTTGTGGACTTCCTGGAATCCTGAAGATACATACACCATAGCCAGTGAAGGTGAGGGCAATCAGGCAAAAAACAAGAGCTTCCTTCCTTCACGTCTCTACGTAGGCTGTCAGGAAAAGGTGTGGTCCAGATTAAAGGTGTCCTTTCCTATCTCAAGTTCTGGGTTAAGAGTGTGTATACTTCAAATTAGGGAAAATAAATAAATAAATAGATAGATAAACAAACCAACCAGTCAGTGGTGGCACACATTTGATCCCAGCACTTGGGAGGAGAGGCAGGTGGATCTCTGTAACTGGAGATTTTTCTCTGTCCCACCCACCCCACTGGATCAGTTTCTCTCCCACCTGCCTGTCCCCACTCACTTATAAAATAATTATCCGGAGACTTAATATTAATTATAATTGTTTTCCTGATGGCTCAGACTTCTTACTGGCTAGTTCTACATATAAATTAACCCATTTCTAATAATCTGTGTATCGCTACGTGCTCTGATATCTTACTCCTTCAGCAGCTGCTGGAGTCTCCCTGACTCCGTCTTCTTTCTCCCTGTAACTCTGTTTGGATTTCCTGCCTAGCAATATTTGGTCCTATCATAGGCCAAAGCAGCTTCTTTATTAACCAATGGCAATAAAACATATTCACAGCATATGGAGGGGCATCCCACATCAGACCTCAGTGAGTTTGAGGCCAGCCTGGTCTACAAGGCAAGTTTCAGGACACCCAGGAATGTTACACAGCGAAATCTTTGTGTCTCAAAAAATAAAACAAAACAAAAATAAATAAATAAATAAAAAGTCCTCACAGGTGTGGCCTCCATTTTTGGGTTTTAGTTCTGTTTAGCTGGTTTTAGTCAACTTGCAACCAAGAAAAGCCATCACATACGGATTTTGGCTTGTCTGTGCATTAGTGAGCACTGAATGAATGTCTGAGGCTTGAGATGGCTCGCAGTTCAGGGCTGGTGCATCTGTACAGCATGTGGGAAGTCGTTGGGTTGACCATGACGTTGGAGGGGAAAAGTGACCATGGGTAAAGGCTCAATAAATAAATGTTAAGGAATGCTATTACTAACTCTTCTACAATCGGATTAAATCACCTAGTAGTGCGAAGATAACCAATCAGAACAATACTTGGGCAATTATGCCTGGAAGCTCCTGAGTCAGTCACACCCATGACTGAATTTCTGGTGTGGATCTTACTGCAAGTGCCTTGGCTATCCTTGTCCTTGGATGACAAGTATGAAAACAATACTGCCCTACAGGGCTGTTGTGAGGAGGAAAAGATCCTTCGGAAAGTTCTGGCAACCTTAACTAAAGTAGCCATTTTTCTTTTTATTGCTACTTGTTTTTCTTGGGCTGCGTTTTAAATAGAAACTTCCTTTTCCTACGGAAATCTAGGGAATCTGGTTTAGAGGATGTGTCTATAGGCTGTGGAGCAACCCATCTGCCGCTTTGGTCTTAGAATGACTCATTATTTCTAAACTTAGTACCGCTGTCTTTGTTTGCTCTCTGATTTTTCTCAGAAGTCCCTAGATTCCCATGCAAGTCCAAACTAGATAATAATAATAAAAAAACAGCCTTAAGAAAGCACACTTAGATTCTTATTTGAGCGTTTTGCCTTTCCTGCTCTGTGTGTGCACCTCATGTGTGCCTGATTCAGAAAAGGGTGCTGGATCTCCTGGAACTGGAGTTACAGATGGTTAAGGGATGTCGTGTGAATGCTGGGAACTAGAAACCTGGGTCTTCTTCAAGAGTAACAAATGCTCTTCGCCACTGAGCCATCTCTCCAGTCCCCTAATGTACATTTTTGAGCTACTACAAGTCACTCGTGCGAGGTAATCTGAGCACAATGTACAAAAGTTTATTATTTCAGTGAGCAGCAATGGATTTTTTTTCTGTTTGCTTGAGACAGGGTCTTACTATGTAGTTCTGGCTGTCTTGGAACTCACTACGTAGCTCATACTGGTCAAATTCACAGAGATCTGCCTGCCTCTGCCTCTGCCTCTGCCTCTGCCTTCTGAGTGCTGGGATTAAAGGTGTCATTACTATCCTAGGTTTAACAGTGGCATTTTACGCTTCCATAAAATTTAGTACTTACAAAATGTTTTGAATTTCATTATTTTTTACTGAGGTACATTTTACATACAGTAAAATCTGCAGTTTTCAGTGTATTTTCTACAGTGTTGACAAGCATATACCTTTATTAAGATACAGTGTTTCTTTGGGAGGGGAGTTGACATTCATGTGGGTGCATATGTTTGGGAAGGCTAAAGGTCAGCTATGGGTGTCATTGCACAAGGGTAATGCACTTCTTAAAGAATTACAGCAGCAGCAGCAGCAGCAGCAGCAGCAGCAGCAACAACAGAATAACAGGGTCTGCATTAGCCTGGAGTTGGCTGTGTAGGCTCGCCTGGAGTTGGCTGTGTAGGCTCGCCTGGAGTTGGCTGTGTAGGCTCGCCTGGCTGTCCAGTAACTGCCAAGGATCTGCCTCTTTCTGACTCCTGGTACTGAAATTCCAAGTCATCACACATTGTGTGAGCTCTGGGGATTGAACTCAGTTCCCTCACCTTGCCATCTGAGCTCTCTCCCTAAACCCAAAAGTAAATTAATTTTTGCACCCCAGAGAGAGTCCCCACAGCCTTTCTCTGTTAATTTCTTACCCCTTCTCTACATTTCCTGCACTAATAAATTTTTTGTTATGCTGTAGAGATTCATATAAATGGAACTTTGCAGACCTCTGCATCTGGTCTGTTTCCTTAGGGTAAGGCTTGTGGGATTCGTCTCCATGACAGCACGCGGTAATTCATCCCCGTCAATGTCTGAGTGACGTCCTACTGTGGGCTACCCCACACTTTGTCTATTCAGTGTCCCGTTTAGAGACACGGGGTCTGTTCTGCTATTCTTTTGGTTATCATCATTGTCATGCTGTGGGAAGTTCAGAAGTTTGTAGTATCTCCATTTTCACAATTTGGAAGGCAGGGCTCAGAGAAGTGAGGCAACACCAAGTCCCATGGTTGGCCAACGAGAAACTCATGAGCATCCCTGGTTCTGTGTCCAGTCCTCTGCTTCCCTCATGTTTTGTTTTCTGAAGTCGGTTTCCTTGAGGTCCTGCCCAGGAGTTTTGCCTCATCTAACATCAGGATTTGATCTGATACTGACTAACTTTTGATGCAGAGATATCTAGGGATGATCGAGTCCCCACCTCTGTTCTGGCATAGCCTCTGGCACGCCTTTGCCTCTCAGAATGGGTGACTTTCTGAGACTCTTCAGGATTGAAGCCAAGGAGTAGATAAAGGGTTAGGATACAGACATTGCAAGCGTTTTAGAAAACAAGTGTTCTTTCTTGGTGACAAAGGGGAAATAGAATGGTCACGAAAGTAGGTCAAGCCTCTTTCAGCCTAGTGTTCCTCAGGCTGTGTGAGTGCGGGCATCCCAACCTCTTAGAGTCTGGCTTTTCTACCTGCGAAGGAGAGAGGGTGTCCTGGGAGCTCCTGACACAGTCCGTCCTTCCTAGGCTCCGGCAAGCCCGGCTGGAGGGAGCGTTACAATATGATGTTGATGCTGACCTTGCTGGGGAGTTTTCCTTGTGTGGAAAAATCAAGCCATCCTCTTTATTTTAGAAGGTACTACTGTATTATTTATAGGAGCTGAATAAAACAGAAGCTTATTTGCCAAGAAAGCAGGGCAAGGGAGGCACACAGTGTGATTCTTCTGCTCTAAGATCGAGGAAATGCAGAGAAGAGATGCCCTTCAAAGATACTCTTTAACATCTCAAAAGGACAAACACATGGAGTGTGCCCCTTGTTTCGAATGCAGATTAGATTGTGTGGGTAAAGACATCTTGGAGAAAAAAAAACAAGGAGGATTTATAAATGTCTTCTTTATTTTTCATAACTTTGCAACCACCCTGTTGTAGATTTAGTAATGTCACCAGATCTCAGCTTCTTTGTCACCGACCCAGAAAGACATGATGAGAAAGTTGACAAGTTCACTTTTTTTTTTTTTGAGACTACAAAGATTTGTTTAAAGTATGTGTATATTATGTAGTTTGTTGCCCAGAGAAAACCTTACAGTTCTTGAAAAGATTGTTATGTAAATGACAAAGTGACCCAACTCTGGTCAGCAGATTTCGAAGAACCCTTGAAGAACCTAAGGTTGGTGGTTGGCTTAGTCAGTGCATCTTTAGAGGAAACTGCCAAGAGTTCACGGCATCATTGACCTTTTCCAAGCAAGGGGAAAATGGCACATATCAAATGAGTCGAGGAACCTCCGATCTT